CTGACTGCCTAACAGAAAGTAGACTTTGTGGAACTCATGATTGGGCAAGTTGCCAATTAATGCCCAATAATTTCAAGAAATACTTTGGTGAAAAATTCTACCTCAATCCAGTCAGTTTGGAATACCATCAGGCAGCATTTCAGATTTCAGATCACAGGTGCCCATTTTATCGATTTCGCTGACATCCATTTAGAGGGCAATGAAAGACCCGAAGATCTGTACAAGAGATTGATGGCATTTGAAGAGGATGTTTTACTCAAGGCTAACAGCTTATCTCACCACGGCAACCTAATCACAGAAGACGAGGAGTTAACCCTGTCTCTAGAAAATTATGTTGTCCTCACATGGTTACAGCATGTTCACCTGAAGCTCCCTAAACTTGTCAAACAGAGGTATGGGACCGAGCTAAGATCAAGGACATTAGTGTCTATAAAACCAGAAATCTCCCAGGCCTTGGACTCCTTACTTGATGAAATTAGAGCCTCAGATGATGCAGAAGTCATGCGTACTGCAACCAACACCTTCCGCAGGACAACCCTCGCCAAGCGTCTACCTAGGAGAGGAATAAGGCCCCCACACCAACTGAAAACGTGCCCCATTTGCAAACAGACCAGGCAACCTGACATCTACCACTTCCTTAGTGAATGCCGTCATCTCCCAGAGGAAGATCGCAAATACATCGTTCAAGCAAGGCAAATCGCTGACATCTTTGATGATCACCTCGAGGACATTGGCGAAATGACTCCATGCATGGAGGAAAGTGAGTCCAACAATGAGGAACGTACCCTTGATCGTGGCCTGGAGCCCTCAGCCCACCATATTCAGACCTGCCAATCCCCTGATATGGATACCTTCCATGCCCGTCACCCAGTGCACATCACCTTAGACAGTGGCACTACCAGCAACATGATTCATCAGTCTGTTACCTCATGCCTGGGATGCCATGTCACTCCCAGTTCACAATCTGCACACCAGGCAGATGGTTCCTCGGGCCCTTAGCGCTGGTTAGAGAGGCTCGTCTGCCATTCATACGTGATAACTGAGAGTTCTCGTTTGAAGGTTTAGTAGTAGAGAACCTTGACGTAGACGTATTGACAGGAACCCCTTTTAAGGAGACCAATGACCTTTCCGTCCGCCCAGCCAAACGTCAAGTCATTCTCGGCAATGGTACTGCCTACATTTATGGATCCCAAGGTCCCCCAGTTGTAAACACAACTGTCTGTTGTGCCATGGTCTTACGCGCCCTGCCTACCTCAACCACCATTTTGCCAGGCAAGTTTGTTGAAGTCAGTTTACCTAAAGAAGCTCCTCCTGACTGCGTGTATGCCCTTGTGCTGCAGTCTGATTCCCCAAGTGTCAGAAAGTTGACAACCCCGAACTCTGGCCGACCCCAGCATCGTCTCAAGCATCACTGGTGAAATACGAATTCTTAACCTCTCATCTGATCTGCACTCCCTTAAGCATAACAAACACTTTTGCCAAGTCTGTCCCGTCTTCACACCTGCCACTGATAATGCAGCTCCTCCTCCACCCTCATATGAGCCACACCCTCAATCAGCCATCCCACCTGCTGAACTCAAGCATAACTCCAATGTACGCCTCAATCCGGAGAATTCACTCCCACACGACATCAGAGTGAGATTCCAGGAACTCCACAACAAGTATGATGAGGTCTTCAACCCCCACAACACACATATATAGTGAGGGTTCTGGCGCAGCACTCACGCACACAGTGTAAGCGTAACGCAACTCCTCGTCTGAAGATTCGGAGTTGCGTTACGCTTGCACTGTGTGCGTTCGCTTGCGATCAGAACCCTCACTATATATGTGTGTGAGTATAAAGCAACAGCAGTTGTCGAAAGTGCACCCAGTACTAGGAGCGCATTTTTCGACAACCAAATTTTTCAACAACCAATTTTCGACAAGGATACAGTGTTGCGTGAGAGCTGTGCCAGAAACGTGTGTGTAATGCAACAGTAAAATTTGGCGAAATAACGGGTCCAGTGAAGCTGCAACGTCTGTAATCAATATGCGCGGATGTGCCCTTCACTAGTATATACAAAAATGCGCCAGAAATATTTTCGTATTGAACAAGTATATGCACAGTGTATACGTCGACATGGCTGCCGCAAGACATTCGTCCGATGTTCAACTTTCCAAGGCCATCCAAAATCTCCCCCCAGAGCTTCGTGAGATGATTCTCAAGGAGTACATCACGATAAAAATCAAGGAAAAAAAGGAAATGGGGTGGGGCAAGGTACACGAGAACATTTTAAAACTGCCATTCTGCGAACTCAAGCAGCAGATTGCCCCGATAATATGCTTCGAATACCCCAACTGTCCTTTTGAGGGGAAATGTTACCACTGTTTAGATGAGGGAAATGTCCATGAAATGTTGCTGAGCCGCGAGATGGAGGAAATTCCTCTCATTGAAGCCACCCCTGAGTACAAGGGTTTTTTGAAACCATGTTCCTGGTGTGGCTATGATTATCACGAGTTGTTCCTTGACGACGGCATACTGCTTTAGCGAAAAACATCAGCATCAGTCTCAACCATGCCAGCAAATCGAGCTTGAGTACAGTGTCACAAAAAAAGGGGGAAGGGGAAAACCTTTTTTTAGCCAGTCAAGGAAACTGTAACAAAACAAAATGTCGACAAGGTGTCTTCAACAAAGTATGAAATCGTAGAAGACATTCCCTGTTTCCACTGACAACTTAGCGCCAAGATTCAAGATGAAGTTTGTTTTTTCCCTTTTCTCCATTGCATAAAACAGCGAAGACCTTGCCCACACCAAAAAGGTTGAACCGTTCTCTTTTTCGAGTTTTAACACAACTGAAGGGCCGTATTTGTTCCGTCCATGGTTGTACAATGCAAGGACTCTGTACGTACCCACCTCAATATCACGCCATCTAAGCATTTCTTCTGGCTCTTGAAAGTCTTCCAGAGAAGGCCAGTTGAGCTTGTCGGGTGGAGGTGTGTCAACAACATTGAAAGCTTGTCCACGATCCATCGTAGAATACCAAATATTCGCATCTCTTCAACACGATATTCACATATCGTTATCTGCCTCAACCATAGCAGCAACAACCTTGCGCGTAATATCGCGAGCCTCTTTTTGCCACTCAGGAGTGAAATATTCATTCACAAGAAACGCGACCAAGTGGAAGCAGACAATCATGTTCTTATTACATGCAAATGAAACCGTCTGTTTCTAAAAGTCAGTTTGAAGCGGGAGGGTTCGTGATTTTTTTTATCATTTCTGCTTCAAGTCTGCCGCGGATGTCTTTCTCCATTTTCTTGACATCAACCTCGGCAAGCCCTCTCTTCGACGGTTGGCGAAGCATCCTTGCTCGGACCTGATCTTTCAGAAAGTTATACTGTTGAGACTCGGAAAGGATAGTGTCAAACTCATGAGAAGACACTTCATTGTTATTCAAAGTGTTGGAGAGAAGTCTGTTGACGGTATCCCGCTTGGCAACGGCGAGCGTGGTAATCTCTTGATGTTTCTTTATTTTCGAATTGAGTTTTTTGCTGGTGATTATCAGCCCCAACGAAACAAGAGCGAAGCATCCACCAGCGCCACCAAGAGGAATGGCTGCCGGCTGGCCAACCACAGACAGAGCGGAGCCAAAACTTGCGCTGGAAAACGCTGCCGAGAGAACGCTGGAGCCGGCAGCACCCCAATTAACGAACTTCCTCGCGCGTTTGTATTTTTTAGCGACGAGGCGATAGTGGTGGACCTCAACGCCCAAAGTGTTGGAAATCTCGTTGACCTTCTGCAAGTGGAAATTTTGAGAAGGCTCCGCCACCACCAGATAAAGAGGGCCGGCAGGCGGCGCGCTTGGTGGCAACAGATTTGCCAAAGACATTGTGTATATATAGAAATTTAATTTAACGCTAATTCAAAAAGAAGAGGGAAGCCCTTGAAATCAAAGAGCTTCCCTTTCACATCAAACAAGGCTAATACATCTGACCTTTTGCCATTGAACAGGTTCTTTTGTTTGTCGATCAAACTACAATGAATAAAATATGTCGTTGGAGCTGTAAGCCTTTTTATGAAGGTTATAGGCGACAACTTTCGCCCAGTACCAAGCAAATTGGCTAAATTGCTATCAAATTCAAGATTTTTTTTCCCAAATTTCTGATTACAAGCTGGCCAACAGGATGATTTATTGGTGTTTGCAAATCTTTATATTTATCTTTGATGAACAGACCTTCTATTTCTTTTGCCATTCTTTCTAAAGTATAATGCCCTGGCATTATTTTACTAACTAACAAAGGTATATTTTTGTCTTTATCTTCCAAGGTGGCCGAACCATCTCTTGTCAAATTGTACCAGCTGTTGCACAAACTGCAAGAAATGAGTTTCATGAAATCAACTCTCGGTATTGGCTTTTCAAAATTGATAGTCCCTCTGTTCTGTTGCGTGACAATAGTGAGAACAACCATTTTTATATTCAACAAATAAAATTGTGTTCAAATAAGATGGCCAATTTGTGGAATGGTCCTGCGTTNAACATTGTGTTCAAATAATATGGCCAATTTGTGGAATGGTCCTGCGTTAAAAAAAGCGGAGGCGGCGAAGAAAAAGGCATGGACGAACTTTTTAAACCGCTTCCCCAAAGCGGACAAAAGCCGGTTCGTTTCGCAAGGAAGCGTCGACGAGAAAAATAACGTGACCGCGGAGGTGTTTTTCAAAGAAAGCGAAGACTCTTTTCAAAGCGTCTTCGGTTCAGATAGAAAATACTGGAGCGCCGAAATGAAAGAAGCGCTAGGTTTGGGAGACAGCGGTGGTTTTCCTTATCAACTGTCGCCGCTTGGTTCAAAAGTTTCATTGGCCATACCTGCGGTACCTTTTGACGGCAAAGCGCCAAGCTTGAAAAAAATATTCGGTGCCGAAATCCAAATATACGTCACGCCTGACCAATATTTCACAACAAAATTCAGAGAAATATTTCAAGAAACCAAACTCAGGCACACTTCTGCAGTCGAATCAANNNTTTAAACCGCTTCCCCAAAGCGGACAAAAGCCGGTTCGTTTCGCAAGGAAGCGTCGACGAGAAAAATAACGTGACCGCGGAGGTGTTCTTCAAAGAAAGTGAAGACTCGTTTCAAAGCGTCTTCGGCTCAGACAGAAAATATTGGAGCGCTGAAATGAAAGAAGCGCTCGGTTTGGGCGACAGCGGTGGTTTTCCTTATCAATTGTCGCCACTTGGTTCAAACGTTTCACTGGCCATCCCTGCGGTACCTTTCGACGGCGAAGCGCCAAGCTTGAAGAAAATATTCGACGATACAATCCAAATATACGTCACGCCTGACCAATATTTCACAACAAAATTCAGAGAAATATTTCAAGACACCAAACTCAAACACACGTCTGGAACCGAATCA